ACGCTGTTGGTGCAGAAGTGACGGTTACATTTAACTATTTCAATAGTGATCTGTCCTGATTTGGCGTCTCGACTCCAGTCATTTTCTCGCAGACGTGATGTGGCTTCCCTCTGTCTTTTCTATAAATATTTTCATAGCATCTCCTCCGACGAGCTATTTTCACTGGTGCCCAAATGCATGCGCGCTACTAGATTGGCATCTCGGTCTCACCCTTTTACTATCGAAACAGTTAAATGTAACCGCCTCTTTTACTCCAACAGCTTTTCCCTTCGCATTTCCCGACAATGTAACTCCCTCTTACTTGCTTCCATGATAACTATAATCTTCAAAAATTTAAATGCAATGTCAACCGACATCTTCTGATACCTTGTTCTCGTTCTTTTTATCCGCCCCCTTTGTTTATTTTTATCCTTTCCTCACGACCCTATACCTCCGTTTCCTCCCTTGCGAACTAGTCGCTCTCCCACTTTGCTTGGGGGGAGAGGCTTAAAAAAAATGGGTGGGACCTAGATGCCAATCGAGTCAGTCAGTTTTGCGTCTTGCGTGATACACGCTTAGGCGATCATGTATCTTTCGATACATGAATAATAAGGCAGATTTTTTTTCCTGTAATAGGTAGCCATTTCTTTTTTCGATAGTCCAGTTGTCATCCAAGGCTATAGAACTCGGCCTGTCCTGCTATTTTCACATAGCTTAGAAGAGGAGAATTCCTACCTTTCCCAAGGGTATTAGCACGTGAGTAATGGATGCGACTAGAATTTGAACTCGGCTCTCCGATTCCTCAAATCGAACCGCTATCCATTACTCAACCGTAGTAGCACGTTTAAATCAATATATTTGGGGTACCAGGGGAAAATGATCGTCACAGCAGTGCCGATGACTTAATCTGCCTTTCTTATTTAATTCTGATCAGTTATTATTTTATTTGAAGATTTATCGGATCAACAATTAATTGATGGAGGCCAGAGATTTGAATGGCCGAAACTTTGATAACAACAACAAAGATAAGGAAAATAATCGGCATTTAAGAAAATGTAAATTAGAAAGACTATTTCCGTATGTATAGATGCAACTTTTAGTCAGACATATTTTTTCTTCACATCAGAAGAGAATGCAATAGAAGTGATTGATAACAAGAGACATAAAGTATTCAATGAACTTTAACGGTGCATGCACGATTTCTTTAACACTGTGTAAAAATGTTTACGCTCGGGGGATTTGCATGAACCTAATAGATAGCTCGCACGCATTTGAGGAGTTGTAGAATAAGTCCTGCCGTTGAAATATCACTACGTTTAGCACAGGCGTTTCTCTCGTAAATTATAGTGTACGATCGGCATTAATTGCTGCTGGAAAATCTTCAGGACAGAAGCCTATAATTTCTTTTGAAATGGCTGCTTGTCAAGTATGAGGTCGAGTCGATTAGAAAAAAAAAAAAAAGAACTGCGGGAGTTTAGAAAAACGAATGTCTCTTTTCCCCTAAAGCGAAACGAAAATGGTTATTCGATAGGAATTCGAAAAAAAATGCCTTTTTTTTTCTTCAAATAAAAATTAATGACTTTAGCGAAATAAATTAAATTACAAGAAGCACAAATTGATTCCTCGATCAATATTAAAAGAAATTAAAACAGATTAATTCTTACAGATACGTATATTTCTATAAATAACACAAGTACAAGCAAAATTAGACACACACATGTACTCATAAACATGTGCGCGCGGAATGCAGTGTAAATCATCAAGCACCTTAAGGCGTGAAATTGTTCCCGCAAAGTAAGAAAGAGATAGAAAAATCATGGAATGATTTCGTATAATATGGAAAAATCTTCGGTTAGACAGGGGAAGGACTGAGTAATTTGACAGATGATTAAACTGTTTCATTACTTATGCATATATAATTTATATAGAGTCCAAAACTCTGGATTTAATAAACCGTAAGTTTCATTAACTCTGAACACTTTAGGATGCTAAAACTATTACTGTATGGCGACCAAAATTTTCAGAGAAGATTGCTTAAAATTTAAAATCCGCGAACCCTAAGATTACCATTAAAAACAAGAGATATTAAGAAAAAAGAATTAAACTTTTAAAGAAACTTTATGCATTACAGGACTAATTTAGTTCTTCTTCTTCTTTTTCTTCTTCTCATTATTATTATTATTATTATTATTGAATATATGATAGAAACGGTCAGGACTATAAAAGTCACAGACGTTTTAAAAATCATCTATCTATCTATCTATCTATCTATCTATCTATCTATCTATCTATCTATCTATCTATCATTGAATGAATATATACTGCTTATTATATATATATATATATATATATATATATATATATATATATATATATATATATATATATATATATAAACAGTATATATTCATTCAAACATGCTTGAATGAATATATATACTTATATATATATATATATATATATATATATATATATATATATATATATATATAGCAGTGTATATTCATTCAAGAATGTTTGGATGAAAGTTCTACATATATTATGTCTATTGCAATCCTATCAAATTCACGGATCAGTTTCTTAGTGCTGTTAACAAACTGAGTATGAATGACGTCGCAGTTTTGGTTATTTCTTTTATTTTCCCAAGTATTTACAATCTCATCCAAGATCATTTTCAGAGGTAAATTTCCAAGACAAATATATATATATATATATATATATATATATATATATATATATATGTATGAGGAGAGAGAGATAGAGAGATTGGGAAAGAGAAGTTTCTAGCCAGATAAGTAGTTACTCGCCTAATAATCTGAAATTTTTTGATGTGATTAATATTCTTCACAGAAAAACGGAAAATGTTATGCTGGAATCTATACACAAACACACGCGCGGATATATATATATATATATATATATATATATATATATATATATATATATATATATATATATATATATATATATATTCAAACAAAAGATTATACCACAGAATTTATATGTGGTTTTAAAAATGACAGTGCGCATTCTTTTAGAACAATTTCCTCGAACATTTAAAACAACACAGGGGCAAATAAGGAGCCACGTTTAAAATAAATTTATATATTTATTATTATTTATTATATATATTTCTGTTACCTAGCAGATCAATTAAACAAATTCGAACATACAATGGAATTTATATACGAAATGGGAGACCACTATTCTTTACCCTTATTACAAGCCACGCTCGATTAACAAGATTTTTATACAAGGTATCCACGGGAAATCACCCAACCACAGCGCAATAATTAACTTCTATTCTCATCATAACAAAAAAGTAAAATCCAGTACAATCATCTGATTCTACCTAGAGACACGAAGAATATGCAGCTTTGATTATTACCCTAGTTATTGTATATTCAATCCGAAACAAAAGGCCCATAAAATATTACAAAACAAAAATGGCTCCTATCCTGAGAAACGCAATGAATAAAAAAAAATATTATCCCGCTTAAATATCACACCTACAATCGAAAGAATATATCTAAAGTCAACCAAATATTTTTGCTACTACATCCAAAACAATAAAAGAATTAGTCATACTAATCGAAAGAATAAGCTAAAACCTGAAGTAGGATTTTATTTCATCGCCTGTAATAAATTGTTACAAAATAGGTAGAAGAAACCTCAAGGAATTTAATAAAAATTATATGAACACAAAAGGGACATTTTACAAAAATAATACATCAAATGCGTTGATTTGCTACCGTAATGAGACTGACCACAATTTTGACATAAAATTGCTACTCAGATCAAAGAAGGAAATAATTCGCTACTACATGGATGTATAGAGAGTGCCTTAATCGCAAGGTCATCTACAGCAAAATGGCGTCCTGACTTTTTACAACATTTGACCATTCATGGCAAATTTTATGACATCACAGTGTGGAATACTTACAAAAGTGATAGCAAAAAAAAGAAAGAAAGAATTCAAATGAATTCAGCTAGACGAAAAAAAAAATCAAATTCTAAAATTCCTAGCAGCCCTCTGTTGAGCACATGTGCAGTCCTACCAACATAACGAAATTTAGTCCGATAACATCCTGCGGGACGAAAAGCGTCACAAGTATACTTTTCCAGTTTGTTCATTCTCAATACCGTTCTTAATATATATATATAAAATGTATATCGTTTGGGTCCTCCTTTTAGCATTAATTTTTTTTTTTTGTTTCTACTAAGTTTATATATATATATATATATATATATATATATATATATATATATATATATATATATACATTTGTTGTGGGGAATAATTTATTTTCACAATGAGGCAATGAACTTCCTAATGCACCTATATATGATCAAATAAGTTAAGAAAAAAATCTGTATAAATTTGAAAAATTCACTGTCTATTCAACATTTTGGGGAAGTGAAATAATATATTTATGTATGTGTGCTGTGTGTATATATCTATATGAATTGTTATATGTATGTGTTTCATCTACAGATATGTATATTATGTATCTATATATGATTTTAAAAATATGAGACAGAGTTCAGAATTTCACACCATGGAGAATGCAAAATGTTAATTCTTGTGTAGTCTGAATATTGACCAAATTCACCGTGCTGGGTACAGAAATCCTTGATAATGGATTAATCTCAAGGCAAAAAATATGGGAGAACCTAAAGCAAATAAAGAAGAATATGGATGAGGAGAGATAGCGAAAAGAAAAAAAAATACTAAGATCTATAAAAGACAGGAACGTGAGGAGAGTCATGATCGCACACGTCCTAAATAGACACGGTCCATAAAAGAATAATTATTTGTCCTTTCTTTCACCGTAGTACACATTCATTCATTTTCTTTATCTGTAGAAGTGGATATATGTTTACGACTATTCAATTCCATGTGTTATTTTTAAAAATCAATGAAATTCTATAAGCTACTCAGACCTGCAATAAATAAATAAACACGTGCGCATGTATATTTGCGTGTGTGTGTGTGTGCGCGCGCGTGTGAGTTTGCCGGTTTATTTTGAAAAAGTATAAAAATATAAACACATCGATTGGTTGATTTGAAATTCCGCGCGTTTCCTTCCGTAATCACTGTTATTAGAGGCGGGAAAATTGGGTGGTCTGTGTTGGCGAGATTCATGGATGCCGGCGACGACAGCTAATGTAATCTCTGTGGATCTGAGTATAATTTGAGAGCGCTTCATATCCGATTGGTGAGGAAAGGAAGCAATTAAATCGTCAAATAAATAATCGTTCTTTTCTTCACGGGGCTAAAAAAAACAAAACAAAAAAAACTAAGAATTAAATAAAATGTACAAGGCCGATAAGAAAAAAAAGAGAAACTTTAAACGAATAAAATCACCTTGGATCGAATGAGCCTGGAGCGGAAACATTCATGGCGGAAATAATTTAAAGGGGTGAAAAATTGAAAAAGAGAGGAAATACATAAATGTGGTTAAAAAAAATGATTGAACAAAGGAAGAAAGAAAGAAAGAAACGCGAAAAGGAAAGAAAGAAGAAAAAGGGGAAAGGAAAGGAAATGATGAAAGAGAAGAAAAATTAAATAAAAAGAAAGAAAGAAACAAGGAAATAAATGAAGGAAATAATTGAAGGAAAAAAAAAAGGAAATGAATAAAGGAAAGGAAAAGAAGAGAATTCATGAATGAAGGAAAGAAAATAAATAAATCAAAAAGAATATATAAAGGAAAAGGTGTAGATGGATAAAAAAAGGGGGATTAAAATATTAAGAAATCAGGCACGCTTCTGAAACTTAATAAGCAATAGTTATTAAATAAAACGTATGACATGTGTTAGAAAAAAACAAACAAATAATTACTAAATACCCAAATCGACCAAACCGCCAGTCAGAATATACGGATGTTCCATCGGAGAGGCTCCATGGCTTGAGAGACTTTTAAGTGTGAAAAGAGAAAGAAAGAAAGAAAGAAATAGTCAAAGAAAAATAGAAGAGAAATCGAAAAGGGAAGAAAGATGAAAGAAGAACAAAGAAGACAGACAAAATTAATCAAGGAAGATGAGAAAAATGAAAGAGGCGCGAAAAGGAAAGAATGAGACGAAAGCAGGACGAAAAGAAGAAAAATTAGATACTCATTCAAAAAAGGAATGGAATAAATAAATGAATGAAAGAAAGAAAGAAAAGAAGAAAATGATGGCGATGCTGACGATGATGAAAGAAAATAAATTAATTTACAAAAAAGAGAGAAGAAAAAAAGAGGAGAGATTAAACTTGATGAAGGTATTGATAATTAGACAAGGAGAATGAGAAGAAAAAGACGAAGGAATGAAAGAAGGGAGAAAGGAGAAGAAAAGCAAAGTGATGTAATTCAATAGAATTTTTAAAAAAAAGAAAGAAAAACTCGAAAAAATGAATGCCCGAGAGCGGAAAAAAAAAGGAATGAAAGAAGTAAAAAGTAGAAGAGAAAGAGAAAGAGAAAGAGAGAAAAAAAAGCATAAGACAAGTGTTGAAAAACAAATAATGAAGGAGGATTAAAACAAGAAAGAAAACAAAAAGAAATTGGAAAAGAAAAAAAAATTAAAATAAAGCGGTGAGAGAAAAAGAAGAGAATAAGTAGAAGGCGAAATACAGAGAAAGGAAAATGAAAGAAGGAATGAAAATAAGAAGGAAGACTAATGAAAAAATGAAAAAAAGTAACAAATGGCAAAAGAACAAAAAGGTAAAAAGAAAGAGAGAAAAAATGGGAGGATAAAAAAAATAATATAGAGCAATATGAATGAACGTAAAAAGAGTTGATAATAAAATCGAACTGAAAAGGAGTTGAGTCAAGAAATATGAAATAAATGAAATTTCAGAAATAACAACACATATTAGGTTGGTGCATAATTTTCAGGCGTTTTTAAACAATATTTATTATGAAAATAGAATCATAACAATTCAACAGTAACATTTTTAAATGAGTATGATTATCGAAATGCATTCTTATAATCTGAAAATAAAATAATTTTTTTATTAAAAAAAGTAAACAAAACTGCAATTTTTATCAGCAAATAATTCGTCTACAAAAACGCCTGATAATTATGCACCAACCAAATAAGACAGAAAACAATCTAAGAGAGGGGCAAGAAGAAAAGAATACAGGAAAATAATAATAGAATAAGAGAGAAAGAAAGAGAGAGAGAGAGAGAGAGTGTGAGAGAGAGAGAGAGAGAGAGAGAGAGGGGGGGGAGAGAATAAGAAATTGAGGGAAAGAATCTTAGATATAGACAAAAGAAAAAATCCGAAAATCATGAATGACAACGAGAGGGGACGAAAAAAAATAGATTAAGGAGTGTTCGATATAGACAAAAAGAAAAGAGAAACAAGAAAAATGTGGAGAGTGGAAGTGAAAATAAAGAACACAAGAAGCAAACTCCGAAACCACGGACAGAGTAATTGGAAGAGAGAAAGATAAAGTCAGAGAATAAAAGAAAAAAAAAAAACTATTTGAGATGAGAGAGTAATAACGCAACATAAAAAAATAAAACTAAACAAAAAACAATTGAATTTGGCCGGGAGGAAACTAGAGAGAAAATGAAAGTGATTACGTTTTGAAAAAGAAGCCAAATTATAAACTTTCATGAACCCTAACATCAAATAACGTTGTCACGAAAAATCCATAAAGACACGAAATAGTTTTGCATGAAAAGCAATCATATTCTTTCTGGCGTTTTACTAAGAAAACGCTCTTTAAACAAGAATATAAAAACGAGAAAATTTTTAACCCTTGATTTCTGCCTTCTCACGTTTATACCATCGGGGTGTTAAATTAGTTCCCGATTCCAATGTGTCTGAACCAATATGAAATTCGTCCTCTCACCGAAAAAAAATTGACTCCATAAATGAATTATTGTTAAAAGCAATAATTACTATTCTTTGATAAACCTCTGTTGGAATTTTAGAGACTAAAACGTCGCAAGATGGCCGAATTTATTTATATTTAATGTTCTTTTTATTCTAACATCTGATATCGTGTTTTTCTTCCGCCGTATGCGCTATGGTATGGAAGGTTCCTCTCCATTTTTTTTTTTTTGGCTATTCTCGCATTCTTTCCATCTTTGTGTTGCCGTGGAAATTGGACAGCTGTTGTAATTTGTGGAGATATTGTTTTGGAAAGGAAACAGCAGTTTGGGTCACAGGAGGCTTAAAATCTCCTCTGCAGGGAAACCAGAAATAAGAAAAGAATCCATAAGGAAATTACTAGTGTGTTTTGAAAAAAGACTTTTAGAATAGCGGCTTACTTAAGTAGTAATGCTAATATGAAATCGAAAAGTTACTAAAAAATTGACCAAATCGCCAGTCACAATAAACGGATGTCCCCTTGGAGAGCCTCCATGACTTGGGAAACTATTGGGCTTTAAACTCACACCTGACCTCAAGTGGAACTCGTACAAACGAGTCATCGTTAAAAATGCAGGTAAAATTCTTGATTCCCTGCACCGCTCCAGTAAGTACCAGACTCCACGTACTATCATTTACCTTTAGAAGAGCCAGATAAGGCCATAAATGGAGTACTGTTATCATATTTGGGAGAGTGCTGCCCAAACTGAACTTTATAATCTCTATAGAGTCCAAAAGCGTCTCCAAGTCCTTGTGGGTAAGGAATTATTTTCCACCTACCAACCTCTCTCTCAGGCGGAAAGTGCTCGGACGAACTACATTTCTTGGTTCCGCTAGGCCTAACCTTCACGGCAAGGCCCCGCCATGACACTTTCATTGTAGTACCCCCCCCCAACCCCATATTCCCTCCGTATTCCATCGGTGATAAGAATGTTCCAACCGAACAGCTTCTTCCTGTGAACCTCTGCTATGTGGAACAAACTCCCCAGAAGATAGGTCCCCGATCACTACAATCTTAAGCTGTTCAAGTTTATGGTTAACTGTGACCTATCTGTACAAATTACCTCCTAACGTAATCCTCAACTCTGAGTGACTACCGGGTCTTGTACAGGGATAATTAACTTCAGGGATGTGGTGGCATCCTTATTTGAAGAGAAACGTTTTCTCCGCCTGAGGAAAATAGCAACTAACAAAACTGAAGATTTTATTTCAATGTGTGATTATATGGGCCAACGCATCCGTACGAGTTGCCCAGACTACTGGAGGATGACTGTTTTTATCGACTCACCACCTATAGAATGGTTGCCAACTAAGGTTATGGAAACTGTGCTGATAATTAAACGATATCTGGAGAGAGAGAGAGAGAGAGAGAGAGAGAGAGAGAGAGGATAGATTCATACTTTTCCCGATGGTATTTACATGTAACTGAATATAACGGAATCGAGTGGAATTCGAACTCGGTACTTCGATATCTCATTCCAAGCCGCTATCCATTACACCACACGCACATCACGTTTATATTATTTACATGCGCACTATTGTCTTCATCTTTATTGGTGCAATCATTTTGACCGTGGTACTCTCTTGCCTTCATCAGGTGCTTACCGACCGAGGTAACCCTCAAGGAATTTTGAACTGAAATCTTTATTTAATCTACGCAGGCAGATCGTTCTCTCCTGGACAATAGCCGATTAGATTAAAGCGTTGGTTCGTGAATTTGGTGACATAGTAATTGCATACAATAACAGAGCAGTAATAAAAATAAGAACTAGACGAGATATCCCTAGACGGGGTCAGCGGAAGGAGATCAATCTACGCCCGTGGATTATGTAAAGATCACCTGTATTGACAGTTGAAACATTATGATATGAGACTTAGTGGAAACGGGGCGAGCTATAACTGAGCAGTACTAAAAATAAGAACTAGACGAGATATCCCTAGACGGGGTCAGCGGAAGGAGATCAATCTACGCCCGTGGATTATGTAAAGATCACCTGTATTGACAGTTGAAACATTATGATATGAGACTTAGTGGAAACGGGGCGAGCTATAACTGAGCAGTACTAAAAATAAGAACTAGACGAGATATCCCTAGACGGGGTCAGCGGAAGGAGATCAATCTACGCCCGTGGATTATGTAAAGATCACCTGTATTGACAGTTGAAACATTATGATATGAGACTTAGTGGAAACAGGGCGAGCTATAACTGAGCAGTACTAAAAATAAGAACTAGACGAGATATCCTAGACGGGGTCAGCGGAAGGAGATCAATCTACGCCCGTGGATTATGTAAAGATCACCTGTATTGACAGTTGAAACATTATGATATGAGACTTAGTGGAAACGGGGCGAGCTATAACTGAGCAGTACTAAAAATAAGAACTAGACGAGATATCCCTAGACAGGGTCAGCGGAAGGAGATCAATCTACGCCCGTGGATTATGTAAAGATCACCTGTATTGACAGTTGAAACATTATGATATGAGACTTAGTGGAAACAGGGGCGAGCTATAACTGAGCAGTAATAAAAATAAGAACTAGACGAGATATCCCTAGACGGGGTCAGCGGAAGGAGATCAATCTACGCCCGTGGATTATGTAAAGATCACCTGTATTGACAGTTGAAACATTATGATATGAGACTTAGTGGAAACGGGGCGAGCTATAACTGAGCAGTAATAAAAATAAGAACTAGACGAGATATCCCTAGACGGGGTCAGCGGAAGGAGATCAATCTACGCCCGTGGATTATGTAAAGATCACCTGTATTGACAGTTGAAACATTATGATATGAGACTTAGTGGAAACAGGGGCGAGCTATAACTGAGCAGTAATAAAAATAAGAACTAGACGAGATATCCCTAGACGGGGTCAGCGGAAGGAGATCAATCTACGCCCGTGGATTATGTAAAGATCACCTGTATTGACAGTTGAAACATTATGATATGAGACTTAGTGGAAACGGGGCGAGCTATAACTGAGCAGTAATAAAAATAAGAACTAGACGAGATATCCCTAGACGGGGTCAGCGGAAGGAGATCAATCTACGCCCGTGGATTATGTAAAGATCACCTGTATTGACAGTTGAAACATTATGATATGAGACTTAGTGGAAACGGGGCGAGCTATAACTGAGCAGTACTAAAAATAAGAACTAGACGAGATATCCCTAGACGGGGTCAGCGGAAGGAGATCAATCTACGCCCGTGGATTATGTAAAGATCACCTGTATTGACAGTTGAAACATTATGATATGAGACTTAGTGGAAACGGGGCGAGCTATAACTGAGCAGTAATAAAAATAAGAACTAGACGAGATATCCCTAGACGGGGTCAGCGGAAGGAGATCAATCTACGCCCGTGGATTATGTAAAGATCACCTGTATTGACAGTTGAAACATTATGATATGAGACTTAGTGGAAACGGGGCGAGCTATAACTGAGCAGTACTAAAATAAGAACTAGACGAGATATCCCTAGACGGGGTCAGCGGAAGGAGATCAATCTACGCCCGTGGATTATGTAAAGATCACCTGTATTGACAGTTGAAACATTATGATATGAGACTTAGTGGAAACGGGGCGAGCTATAACTGAGCAGTAATAAAATAAGAACTAGACGAGATATCCCTAGACGGGGTCAGCGGAAGGAGATCAATCTACGCCCGTGGATTATAAAAGGTCACCTGTATTGACAGTTGAAACATTATGATATGAGACTTAGTGGAAACAGGGGCGAGCTATAACTGAGAGCAGTACTAAAAATAAGAACTAGACGAGATATCCCTAGACAGGGTCAGCGGAAGGAGATCAATCTACGCCTGTGGATTATGTAAAGATCACCTGTATTGACAGTTGAAACATTATGATATGAGACTTAGTGGAAACAGGGCGAGCTATAACTGAGCAGTACTAAAAATAAGAACTAGACGAGATATCCCTAGACGGGGGTCAGCGGAAGGAGATCAATCTACGCCCGTGGATTATGTAAAGGTCACCTGTATTGACAGTTGAAACATTATGATATGAGACTTAGTGGAAACAGGGGGCGAGCTATAACTGAGCAGTAATAAAAATAAGAACTAGACGAGATATCCTAGACGGGGTCAGCGGAAGGAGATCAATCTACGCCCGTGGATTATGTAAAGATCACCTGTATTGACAGTTGAAACATTATGATATGAGACTTAGTGGAAACGGGGCGAGCTATAACTGAGCAGTACTAAAAATAAGAACTAGACGAGATATCCCTAGACCGGGTCAAAGGAACGAGATCAATCTACGCTCGTAGATTATGTAAAGGTCACCTGCTTCGACGGTTGAAACGTTATAATATGAGACTCAGTAGAAACCGGGTAAGTATTAAGTGAGCAGTACTAGACGAATTATCCCTAGACAGGATCAGCGGAACG